GTCTATCATTTTAACTGAAACCCACAATCTGACACATTCTAACCATCCTCGACTCTGTAAACGATAAACTTGGCTTCTTGCATTAACGGCAACGGTCCAAGTTGCGTTTCTGGGGCGATTTACGAACTTGGACCGGATCTAATTAAACTTGGGCAAACGGCCCAAGACACGTCGCTCTATCGTCAGAGGAGTTAATCTAATTATCAACAACCTCGAAAAGCTCTCAGCGACATTCCACAAAATTTGTTTTTATTTTTTTATCAATATTTCTTTCATCCACGTAATAATCATTATTCTCGCGCCCACGCGCAAAATCTAAATAAACTAAGATTACCCTAAGCTAATTGATTGTATCTGTCGATTTATTAGTATTATCAAACGTCTTTTTCGAGAGTGGAAAAGCTGTTAAGGATTACGTGGGGGATTTGAAAGTCAAATTACGTGATAAGAAGGGTGGAAATCCTTCGGACACCTTGAGAACAAGAATTATTTCTTTTTATCTTTTTTATTTGCTTTTTAGGGTGTTGAAATAAGATAACGTGTTTCCCAATTAAATTCAACGTTAATAATCGTCTTTATGCACGCAAGTAATCGCGTTATTAACTGTTCGACGAACCGAGTAATTTGCTCTTTGTTGTCTTGAACCTAAAATTGGTTTCCATTTAATTAACATTTAATAAAAAATTTTATATTTTTGTGACTAACATATTTTCTTGAAGAACGTAAAATCATATTTGCAAAGGGAAAGGTAAATTGTTATTTCTTATAATTTATGGTCGGAATCTTCCCAAGAAATATCCAATTTGCAATTACTCATGGATTGTGACGTATGGAAATAAGGATTGGATTTTTTTCTAAGCCCATTTTTTAAAGTCATTTTCGAGTTTCTTTTCTAGTCTTCTGTCGAGTCCCTTTTTGAAGCTGTTTTGAAACCCTTTTAAGTCGGTTTTTTAAAGCTTTCGTCTCGCCGCGACAACTCCAAAGTGCCCCTCACGTTAATTGCAGCACGTCCTTCAGGGGAATTCAAGAATGAACTCTGCCGCCTCTCGTCCTCTTCACCAACTCTCCCCCTTTTTTCCTCTCTCTCCATTTTACTTCATCTCCACTCAATTTCAATTTAGTATTGTGAAGCAGTAATTGTTTCATTCTTTTTAAAAAATTTTCTTCGAATCGTTTCCGTTCGAATCTAAATTGTTTGTTTATTTAAGTGTTTAATGAAAACTAACAAAGATGTTGAATGAACGCATCTGTCTTCGGAATGCTTCAACTTGTAAAGAGGAAAAAGTGGTGATGGGAAGGAACTTTAAGGCAAAAAAGATTTACGGAAAAGCAATCTCCGATTTTGATTTTCTCCCGGACGAAATCCATCTGGCAAACGAAGCGAAATTATTCAAAGGCTTGCTCCATTATAAGGAAGTACTTGTTGAACTGTAATGCGTTTGAAGTTTTCAAGTAGAGCCGATAACGTCCTAGAGAATTTAATAAAAGCTTAAAGCGCGTTTCCTTCTACGCTTCAATTCTTAACATTAAAAAAAATAAAGTAAATTCTTATTCGTATATAACTGTAAATGAACACGTTCCACCACGATTCAAGATAAAGAGTCTTGTAAAATGCAAATAACTCGCACGTTAACACTCAAGGATCGAATGTCGCGAAAAAAAAAAGGAAAACGTTTCGAGAATTCGTTTCTAAAGAATTTTCTAAAATATCCGTCGACTTATCGTCGCCATCGAGCTTTTAATGGACCGTTTAATTGAATCATCGCACCCTGAAAGACCGAAAAAGAGAGAGAGTAAACCGAAAGGAATGTAACAGTTCGTGTCTTCCAGACGGCGACACTTTCCTCTTCTCATTTTATGCTCATTAATTTCTAAAATGCGACCGAGTGGGATTTGCTTCACGTCGAAATTGGTCGGTGTCTTTTTGATTTATTAAAGAAGTACGTCTAAAACGATGTAATTTGTCGTTGTTAAGACAAATTACCGAGAATTATAAAAAAAACTAGAACAATAACAATTCCAAGTTGAGATTAACTTGATGATAATATGATATTTGTGATTTAAATTTAATTTTCAAAAAAAAATCTTTTTTTAAATAATTACTCGCCCCATCTAGCGGATTCAACTATATTTAATCGTATTTTTGACAGTTCATAACCTTTTTTTTTACATTCAAACTTTTTTTTTTAACGAATTTTATGAAAAAAAAAAGATTAATTAAACCTGAAAACTAATCTAAATCATTTTTTCAAAGATTTAAATTATCTTTTCAAGAGAAATCCTTTTTTAAATAATTACTTACGCCATCTATCGGATTCAACCATATGTAATCGTATTTCTGACAGTTCATAACCGTTTTTTTTACATTCAAAATTTTTTTTAAAGACTTTTATGGAAAGAAAGATTAATTGAACCCGAAATACCATCTCAATCATTTTTTAACGAATCAAATTAGTTATTTTTAGTGATTTAAGATCGTGTAAAGTGATTTTATTGCTGCGAATTAATCAGCGAAGTTTTGATGGAAAGATAACCTAACTTTTTTATCCTGTCACATGATCTGAAATGTTACCTTTTTTTTGTATTACTACAAATTAATCATGTTTATATATGCGTGGAAACTTCGTTATATGGAACAAAGCAGGTGAACAACCGTGTGTTTCAATATCCAACATTTAATCAAATTATTCATTCTTCAATGAATATCGAATGCATTTGTGTGTTGTGGTAAGTCTGGAAAACCCGAAGTCCCACTTCTTGTTACTTAAATTTTAAATTCAATATCAACCCTATTTAACACAATCTAATTTATAGGAATTATTTAATATTTTTTCAATTTCTTTTCATCAATTTCAACAATAACTAAAAAAATGTATAGAAAGAGTTGAGATTTTAACTTTTGAGATTTGGTTGAAATGAAAAGGTGAATAGTTGAATCATTTCCAATTTATTAGAGTGCGCTATCTCTTCTATCGTGAAATTTATGAAAGCGATGACAGGTTTTCTACAAGCCATAAAGGAACCCGGATTTTCGTCACGAAGAAGAAGAGCAACTCGCGTTAAATATGTAGGAAAACTTTGGCAACCGCATGAATTTTACATCCGAATCGGCGAGGTTCGTTTATAAAACATGCACGCGGTGCGGCTCTTTCCAATTATAGCTCCCCCAAGAACTTCTCCTTCAACAAAGATATTCTTTTCTCCCTCTTTTGTCGTTTTTCAAACCACCCTCAAGATATATTATCGTGAGAGATCAAAAATTTTCGTTAAAATTAGCAAAGAAATAAAAAAAATGTGTAAATAAACAGACGACAAATTCGTTTTAAGCTTGAGATTAAGAGACTTGCTTCGAAAATAACCAGCACAAGAAGTTGATTTACACCTTATTTTATTGCTTGCTCCCCTTAACCGAGGCAGGTCGGGGAAAAGTGGGAGGTTCAAGACAAATTATTCTGTTTATTGAGCGAATTTGGACCGTTGCCAAAAAACGAAAACTTGTCGTCGCCGGTTTGAACGATATTCATCGTTCTATTTAAGATTTCATTGAAAATAAGAAACGATATCTAATTATAAATTGAATAAATTCACTATATGTATCACTAAAATAAAATAAAGGTGGAATATAAAAGGAATTTAATAGATTATCGCCCCTATAAAATCGTAGCGATCTTAATTAACCCGAAGATCGTAAAAGTCTGGTGTTACTTTTAACATTTATTATCATTGGAACGAAAAGAAAATAAACCAAAAAAGAATAAAAGAAAGAAGTTTTTTCATTGGTTTCAATTTTATCAACAATTCAATTCAATTTCATGTCAATACCGTGAGCGAATACAAGTTGAAAAGAAAAATAGAGAAACCCCAGCTGGAAAAATACAGACTTTTTGGAGGAAGTTGTTGAAAAGATATGAAGATATAAACTCTTTTAACTTAAAAGAAGATGAAAACGATAAAGTTGCTTCTTCTATGGTTGTGGACTCCTCCTCCTACCGGTTGTGGTGATGTTGCCGTTGCTCCTTCAGTTGGTCATCGTAAATCAATAGAATCGTAAATCCCACACGCAACAGAAACGGGATTGAATTAAGGATGTGTTTAAATCATTTTGTGATTTATCGGCGATCTACGTCGAGGACTTTTTTTATTTTTGACGTCTCATCTTCAGGCTAACTTCATTTGATTCATTAAAATTATTTAATATATTCTCTCCATTTATTTTATTTTAAACCAACATTCTCAAATTAATATTAAAGAGAAGATAATTGAACTAAACCTAGAATTAGAAACATTTAGGTTTAGCCGTGCGTCTGAAGACTAAACACGATTAAGATTTTTGAAGATGTCATCAAGTGTCCAAAAGCTTTCTAATGATTTCCATTGTCATCAAAAGTTGTTTAACCGCTTTCTGGACTATTATAAAGCTTGCCAGAAGATTTTTGAAGACGTCAAAAAGTCTCTTGAAGCTTTCTAACGATATTCGAAGTATTTCTAAATTGTTTCATAATTATCAAAAAATGTATAAATGTCTCCTAGATATTTAGAAGGCTTCAAGAAGATTTTTGAAGATCTAATCCAACAGTTCCAGTTTTAGTTGTTCCGCAAATATCTGAAGTTATGACCCATATGGGTTAAATATACAGTGAATTTCACTTAAAATGCAATGTACTAAACCCGAAACTTTCTAGTTCTAGGTCTAGTGTTAGTTCTAGTTTTAATTGTTACTCAGCGTTATTATTATTATTGCAGTCCTCCGGATTGGACTGTGTAATTGCATATATTGGAAGGTAAAGGATGTATTTAAATCATTTTATAATTTATCGGCGATCAATGTCGAGTAATTTTTTATTTCATGCTAACTTAATTTGATTTATTAAAATTACTCAATATACTCTCTCCATTTATTTTATTTTAAACTAACATTCTCAAAGATAATTTAATGTATTCGAGGCGGTAGTTATCAAGTTTTCTGACGTACGAACTGACGTGAATTACGATTTGTAAGAGAGACTTAAGAGTTAAGAGCGAAGTCTTAAGACCACCTGCGTAGTACAAGTTTTGCGATAAACTGTTGTGTGTACACTTTACCCTAAAGGTAGTAAGACCACTTAAGACTTAATCTAAATTATTCAAAACATGTTTTTTTTAACCACTATGCTTTGCAGCAACTGTATAATGAAGTTAATATCACAATAATCCGTAAATCTTGTTAGAATGGGACGGTTTTAGTTTGTAGAATCTGATAGGGGTGATACCATTAAAGTGGTAGGTATCGTCTCGAATTCCGGAGCAGTAAACGTTACCAGAGAACGAGAATCGTAACACTCAACCCCCTCCCCCACTTTGAAAAGAACGTTAAATTTTACCGTTTCTGTTTCGTTCCAAAAACTTTTTTGAAAGTTCAACATTTATGAAATGTCATTTATGTCACCACATGTATAAAAAATAAAAATGTTAAGCATTAAAACTGCTTTAGAAGACAATAAAACGCACGTTGGAGCTGTTGCTGGTGCAATATCAATTGTAAGATATTTCAACGTTTTATCAACATCTTATTATGTGTACGACGCAAGTTTTTGTTTGAAAATACCGAAAAGCATATTCGTAATCAATTTATCGACTGTAATTTTAAACGGAATTTACGCCTCTTTAATTCTTGATGTTTTATTGGCAACAGTAAATGTTATTTACGCCGCGATAGATTCAGCTTGTATCCTTACTTATTGGTATTATTATTACTCCCCTGCAAATCTACGGCTAAATCGAAGAATTGAATGTTTTCTTGAAAACGTTTTGATTTCATTCATCGAAGCTTTGGTGGTCGTTTTAATTTTTTACGGATTATGTGAAATGGTTAAATTAGAACGAGAAGAAAAACGTTTCCGTTGCGGTTTGGGTTTAAACATTTTCAATATGATCACTTTAATAAAACCGGCTCGTAAATTGGAATATGATATTAAACAACACTTTATTTTAAGAATTGACCCGGAAAACGTGTTACAAGTAACATTAATTTACGTTTTATGGTTAATTTACGCGATTGCAATCGAAGACGAATGGATGTTTTTGTTAAATTTACAATTTTTAACGATATGCCTAACTCAAATGATCGCCGAAAAATACGTCTCGATAGATTTGATTCGAGTTTTATCATCGTATTCTGTGGACGATGATGATTAGAAAATCTTTTATCTTAAAATGTAAAAAAAAAGGTCGACAACCTTAAAACTTTAAACGCAACGTTGTTCCGTCTATTTCGCAACGGCACCACCACGGCGAAACTTTTGATGATGGGAAGAATTGATTGTACTGATAAAGTAATTGCCCCCGTTGTATTTGTACTAGAGAGACGTATGTATTGTATAACGTAACCGCAGGATGTATTTAATTGGCGGAGACAGCTCTTCCTGTATACCATAATCTAAAACTAACGACGAAGAGATTGTTGGAATTTGATTAGATTTAATTAAAAAAATTTATGCATTGGATTTTTTGTTATAATTTTTTTGTGAAATTAAAAATTATTTCAAGAAACGTCATCTCTTAATATCTATTATCACTAAATTACATTTTTTTGTAATTCAAAAAACGATTTATACATCTAATAAAGTTGGAAGTCTTATTAATTTGATATAAGCACCATTTCTTAGTTAATATTCGAATACTACTCCAGATTGATTTTCATTTAGCTGTGAGATCGCAGCTGGTGCATTTCGAGGGATTGTTGTAATTTGTAATGCAGTGATGTTTGTTTTGCGATGTCAGATTAATTATAGGGGAAGGTGTTGTAATTTATGTGATAAATCAAGTTGTGTAGTTGTGTGTAAGATTTAGGGATGTTTTTATGGCACGTTTTTATAAACCTAATTTCAAATTATTATCCCTGACATCTCTCAATGACGTTTCTATTCACTCATGTTATCACTCTTTCGCTCAATATCTTCTTGATCATCTCTACAATATTATCCATAGATAAGATATAAGATATTGTATACTATAACTTTATCCCTAACATCTCTCAACATTATTCTGGAGCTTTCAAGATCTTTTCCATCATTTATCAATATTCTCCTTTATATCTATATCTACATTATCCCTGATTTCTTTCAATAACTTCCCTGGTCTTGAACAACATTGTTTGCGACAACTTTTAACATATCTGTACTTTGTCCTAGCGTCTTTTAGAGTCGTCTCCATCATTTATCGATGTCCTAACATCACCAATTATCATCCTCAACATCTCTTAACGTCGCCTCCATTATTTACTCATGTTTTCACTGCCTCACTCAATATCTTCTCCATCATATATCAAGGTTCTCCTTGATATCTAGCTTGATATCATCTCTCTCACCTAAAAAGAAATATGGTATGGGGAGCAGCAACAGAATGATGTAATTCGCCAGCCCAATAAAGGGTATTCGGCTTACCCAGCTTCTCATATTCAATATGTTAACCATGATTTAACTAGACACTCCAAGATAAATAAACACCTTCACTACATGTTGAGAACTTAATTTCACGTAATATCAAAGTCAACGATTATTTCAAAAATTTGTTACAAAAAAATGTTTTGTACGATTTTTTAACTTCCAAAAAATAAGCTAAGGATAATAGTTTCTTTGTTCTTTTTATTGTCAAGTATATACATAGTACACGGTGTTTGGTCACGACAAACTGGAAATCTTAAGGTGGTGTCGTGCTTTAGCTGGTATACTTTGCCTACGTGAGTCGTTTGTAAATAAAATAGAAGCAAAACGGAAAGGTCACGGTAATAACTATCAAGTTCGCGGTTTATTTACCATCGTCGACCTGAATTACGACGTGTACCGACTCGTTAGAACGAGTTTAAAACGAGACGTGAGTGGGTGCGTGATTCAGGAATATAAATTTTGTAAATAAAATTAAGTTAAAAACGAAAATTTGTAAGCCAATTTGATTTGAAAATCACATAGATCTATCTTAATCTGACCGGAAATTACTTCCCCCGTAAATGGAATTGGTTTTTTTCTTTCGATTTGCTAGGAAATGGATTGGGTAATCGTCGGAGATTTAATCCTTTTCCCATTTGACCTTTTTCCACGTACGGTACAGAAAAAGATTTCACGATTTCATCACAATATTAGAAGATGTAAAAGCAGAGCTTTCCTTTTGTATGTTTTTTTTTCGAATGAGGATGAAAAGGAAGAAGAAAGGTGGTCCCAAAGAGATGGAGGACCGTTATCTGGTTGGAAAGAAGAATGGGACATCGGCTTCGAACCGAGTCGCCGTCTTCTTCTTCTTACTTCGGGCCGATTTTATCGTCGTTTCGTTTTTGTAAAAGGAAACGTGGGCAACATGGAATTTCTGTTTCTGCGCCGGAATACATTAGGTTACGTGACAAATAACGGCGAGAAAATGGGCATAATGTGACTCGTTTCAACCTACGTACAAAGTAAAACTAAAGAAATACTTATTTAAGTAGATTTATAAAAATAAAATTAGTTTCTTAATTTTGAAAAAAAGTGTGCCCTCGAGTAATGTCGCTTATGTGCGAGAATGTGTCGGTTAAAGATAATTGCGTGAGGGAGTCGAGCTATTAAACTGTCAAGAGTCTCTTTCTCGGCAAAGTCCTCGTCTTCACCAGAACCAAGGTGGAACGAAGATACAATTGCGTAGGAAACGAGATTCAATTATTCGTCGAGTTTCTTAATTGGAACTGAAGGCGATGTTCTTCTCCACTTCCCTTAACTCATGTCATCGAGTCAAAGTGAACATTTTTTTTTTGCTTACAATCGAATAACAAGATTTTCAATTTTCAATTCCCATATTTCCATATACGATTTCTCCTTCTCTTTCTTTATAGTATATTCGATAGAGGCAGTTATTTGCGTTCTTGTTTACTTTGCCATGGCTCGTTGGTCACCACCCTCTCTCGTTTTCGAACTCTCTCTGTTTGTACGGAGAATGTATGGAGAACGGAATTTATCCTGGCGGCATTTTTCGTCATTTGATATTCCGTGACGGACGTGGGAAACGCTTCGTCGAGGTCTTTTTTACCCTCCTACTCCTTCAGGACATACGAAAACATTTATTTAAACCATTTCGTGCGTATTTCTAACTTTATTTTTTAAAGGGGAAAAAATTGTTTTGGTTTACATTATAATTTTTTTAAGAAACGATTTCGTGCATAATAAATGTTGATAATTGAAAGCATAAAGGTTCTACTAATTTGAACTAAGTGCACCTTGAAAGCACAATAAGGGGCTTTTAGTTCGCTCCCTTTTCATTTCGAGGCCCTAATTAACCCAACAATTAACAATTTTGTACGAAAATGTGTCGAGGAATTTTGAAATGTTATCAAAAAATAAAAATCGATTCATTAAAATTCTCCTCGTTTCTTTTCTTTTCTTTAAGAGAAAGTAGAAGTAAAACTTTTTCAGTTCTATGGAGTTGTTATTAATTAAGTTTTTTTTGTGTTCGTTTCGTTTCTTTTAATCCTCCCTTGGCGGATTGCACCGTAAAGAAAATGCAACCCTCGTCCGTCGAGTTTCACGCCAAATTTATCTCCGCGAGAAGAGAAAAGAGACGACAGCCTCTTCTCCCCCATTGGGGAAGTTTTTCGAACCCCCAACGTTTCCTCCTTTTTTGCTCCATCCTACTTTGTCGCGTTGGCTTTAAAAAACTTTTCACCGGATTGTTCAAATAAACCGTTTCCCGTAAGCTTAGAGATAAAAGAACTAAAATAGTGAGAGGTTCAATCTGAAGGCTTTAAAAAAAATCTACGTGATATTTATAAATAAGAAGATATACGACTTTTATAATATATAACTTTTTAAAATGCTACATAAACGTTTCCTGCGTTTCAGAATAACGTTTGAGCCATATTGAATAAACATATAAACAAACCGTCTCTCTCTTTCTCTGTCTTTGTAATTTTAACTGAAACGTTTCGTAAACAATTGAAGTGTTTTTGAAACAATCGAAATATGAAACACAACTGTTTCCGCAAATAGAGCAATTGTAACTTGTTTCCATTCATTTCATTTTCATTCAATTTCCAATTTTAATATGATTTTTTTATAAATTAACCTAATTCAAATTCTAATTCTAATTCATCCTCAAGCTAAAACAACGAGTTTATAATAGCGCAATGATTTTGTTGTTTGTGCGTGTGGTCCAATTAAAATCTCCTATTAAATTGATGTTAATATCAACAATATCCGATGCGAGAGGATCAAGAGGGATTGAGCAATAAGGCAGAAAACTTTTCTTCTTCTTATAAGAAGCTCTCGGACCACCTGCATCGAGTAATTACACGTAAGGAACTGGTTTTAACAATCACGTCAACGATTTACGTCTTAATGCCGGTGTAATTTTGTGTTGGGGGAATCACGAAAATTGGGTCGGCGTCACGCAATAAGATATTTTGATACAAAAATTTAAATTGTGTTATTAATTTTTTATTTTCTTATACAACTTAGTATATTTCCGATGTTCCAACCGCGTTATCTCTTCTACGAAGCTGTGGGTAAACCTTACAAAGTAATATTTGCAATAAACACATTACAAACCATTGCAGATTTTGCGTAAAAATCCATAAATCGTGAACCGCGAGGCAATACAACAACCATAAACCGTAAGTTGTAGTCGTCATCAGAACAATAGGCATATCGATTCTAGGCGAAGATCTATCTTTGATGACCTGTTCCAATTCCTTGGTCGGATGTAGCAACGTTAACGTCGTTACTAAATTCAGCGCGATTCCGTATCGAAACATCACTTTGTCTTCCGTTTCGTATATTTTGTAAAAGTAAAAGAGAAGGATAACGGCTGTGGCTTGGATCATCGGCAAATAAGTGTCTCGCCATCGATCTTTCGAGTTGTACCAATAGATTAGGATGCAGAAGACGTCGATCGTAACGTAAATCAAGTTCACAACCACCAATAACGGGTCGTCGATCAGCGTCGCGTAAATCGCCGTTAGTGCAGTTACGATCAGATTTCCGATAAATATCGAGTTTGGCAAGCGAAAATCTTCGTCCAACTGGACGTAGTAACAGGTCGATAAACCACCAAAGTATTGCATTATCGTTAAAGCTCCAGCAAAAGCTCCCAACTCCGTTCTATGATGATTTAAAACCGTTATTAAAACGTCCATGTTAGGATTTATTTTATTAATACAAATAATTAACCCATTTTTATTTTTTTTTTTAAATTTATTTATGTCAAAATTTGACTTCTCAAATGATTTATCCGGCACGATTGTCAGTTAGAAGTTATTAAACTTAAAATTTATTATACGAAGTCTGAAGATGCACCGCTAAATTTGAAACTTTCTAGTTCTAGTGTTAGTTCTAGTTTTAATCGTTATTCAGCGCTAGATTGTTGTATATTTTTGATAATTA